GGATAATTAATATTTTCAATATATCGGACATATTGTCGTAGTTCATGGATTTCTAAAGGATACACTGAAAATTGACAATAAGAGATACTTAAAGCCAATAGGCTGACAGTTCACCATTGATTCTAAATAGTTTAGTTATTAAGGCAAATCATTATGTGATATTATCAGGGATTATAATAACATATTGAACAATAATCTGTTAGCGTCGATAAACTCAGTCTGGAGCCTCTCTGGGGCTACTGTCAGTCTCAAGCGCAGAAAAAAGGAGGAGGGTTGAGTACGGAGTTAGCAAACCCGTCCCGTAAAAAAACTAACTAGCTCAAAAAACTCTAACCAGGAAAAATAATTCAAACAGGTAAGTCGATAAACAGAGGGCAAATCCTATATATAAACCTGTAATTACTCTTAACGACAACAGCCGAATAGATAATAAAACTGTGACAAAAAGATGATCGTTTTAGAAAACAAATGGATTATCTTCGTTTTCTAATAATAATAATAATATTAATAAGCGAACCATATTCAGTCTAATAGTCCTTAAAATGATCTTTGATGCACTGGAATTATGCGAAACATACCATAACTTCTTAGTCGAAATGAAAGTTAGTAATTCGAGTTGTTGGAATTTTATCGACTTAGGAATATAAAACAAATAGTTAGGTGGATGAAATAGTTTTAGGACACAATACTGACAAGCCAACCAACAACTAATAATTAGCGCTACTCTGATCAATAAGGGGCAAACAGCACCACAAAAGTTTAAAATAGCCCTTGTTCGAGACACTGGCAAATTCAAGATATTTAAAACAATTAATTGACAGAAAAATGAGAAGCCTTGGCTATTCGTAAATTAGAACCCCACTTATGTGTACATAAACAGTTTGTTGTAATCTTGAATTTGCCCTGGTAAACTTTAAGCCACTCTATGGCCTGCAGTTATGTGACAATTTCCTACCCTTTCTTACTCTCTCTACATTAAGCTAATTTTCTCTCACCTTTATTCGCAACTATCACCCTGTCTATTTGGACTTTTATTCAATTGACCTTTTATTAATTTCATATAAAATGGCTTTACAAGTATATGTGTGACCAGATTGTTCTAAATGTATGGCGCAAACACATCACATTCTTCAGATCAATTACGCCTTCTCATTGTTCTATCAGAATTCAAAATAGCACTCAGCAATTGGTTCCAAGTCTTTCACGATCTACTCAATGTAGAGGAAATTACCATGTTCAGTCGTTCGTCCAGTTTAGAGTCAGATTCCTAGCCATTAAAACACATTATCCATCAAAGTGAAATAGTATTAAAAAGTGTATTGTATTCAAAAACACAAAATTTTATGATTAATTTTCCTAGAAATCTGCTAAAATCAATGAGACAGTAATCATACTTCGGAATCGCTAAATTTATATCATAAAGTAAAAACAGTTAGTAACTTCAGTGAAAATGCTATCAATATATTATGTACTTAATAAAACATTTATTGTTATTATACGACAACATCGCTCATCGAGGTAGTCATTGGTCAGGACATGCCAGACGGACGCTGATTTTCTAGACACTAATAGTTAAATTGACTCCTCTGTGATTGTCACAAGAGGACATTTGTCCTTTCGTATAGATTGGAACAATCAGCGCCATCCTTAAAAATCTCAGAGGTTAATCTATCAGAGCCCGCTGCTCTCCCTCACCTTAGATTGCCTATCACATTTTGAACCTCACTACGAGTCGGAGGAATTGCATCAACTTGCTATACAGGTTGACTGGAAGTCGTGGGTAACAGAAATGTAGCTGGAAGCCAGTTTGAAGAGTTTCCCCAAGAATTCTGCCTATCGATCCAATCTCCTACATCTAGAGTGCATATTAGTCCCGTCTTTCTGATACTATCCTACAGCACAACGACACACACTTAATGACAAAGAGCCAACGGTGAGTGCACGACCTATCCCAGTTCTTACGGTCCCATTTAGTCCAATAGCTTGGATGCAACTACCTACTGGAATCCAGCCTAAGAGAGATAATTCGGCCCTAGGACTCAATGTTAAGCCTACACCATCGAGGCCACAGGTAACAACAGTAGGGATTCCAGATACACGAAGTGTAAATGGGAGGACTGCATCCCAAACACGCATGCCTTACTGCTCAACGTGGTCAGAAGTCTCTGCATTTTGCCAGAGTCTTCACCAAGTACAACTAAAGCATCGGCATATTCTACGTCAACAAGTGAATCTTCCGGCGAAATTCCAACTCCTGACAAGTCAGACGAAGATAGAGTTACTTCTACAATCATATCTATGACAATCTTGAATAGGAATGGAGAAGGTGGTCAACCTTGACGAACATCACTTGAGGTAATCAATTCCTACAACAGCTCGCGACAGGTTCTGACTCGATCACTAGTGTTCGAGTACAGCGCCTACACAAATTCAATGTACTCCTTCGGTACTTGTTTTATCGACAGACGCTGACACAGAACCGCCTTAAGGTCAAACAATAGAACTGTTGTGGGACGTATGAACGTGTGTATGTTCTGAGACCTGATATCGGATTTGAATTGACAATTATATCTCTGTGCTGATGTGGCATGGCAACATGAACTGATGTACTTACGTACCAAGTTCTACGTTGCATCTGTCTGTCTAGAGTGCGGTTTCAGGAGACCAGGAATAACGTTTTGTGTACTCAAATCCTGTGTCAGAGGTGTGGCGTGATAAAGGAATGTGAGAATGGTTAGTTGTAAGGATAAGAGAGATGTTAGGGGGTGTAGGAAGGATTTGTTTGTGACCGATTCGGTCTCGAGTGCTATTACGGGTATGAGGGCGGATGAAGTTTCCCGGCAGTCCAAACTGTAGAAGGCTACTTCTCGAGGCACCTGAAAAGGGAAGTAGATTAGTGCTGATCTCAACGATCTGGAAGCGTGACCACAGAGCCCAAGGGAGAACTGCATGACGTCGATCGCACACGGAGGTTTCAGCATTTTCAGTCACTTGAGAATACGCAGATAACGTAGTTCTGTTTGGTGAAGACGCTGACAAATACAGAGTCTTCTAACCATCTTAAGCAACAATGCAAGCATGTTCGGGATATGATTCTTCCTCTCGAAATTCAAAATGTTAATTCATGATTGGCTTGCATGGGCACCCAAACTACTGATAGGAAGTGAGGTTGTTGAAAGTGTTGACCGCTTCGCTTATCATCACTGATGACAGCCTGGTGTGTGACAAAACCTCGTCACAGATGCAGAAGGCTCGACTGGCTTTTGTCCACTTGCGTCACTTATGGCGCAGGAGAGATATTCTTCTGCTAACCAAAGGATGGAACGAGGATATTCGTAGGTTACTAGTATTCCATCATAGGTGTCTTAGATGCATTGCTTGTATATCCTGGGACAATCGAGTAAGCAATGCTAGTGTTAGGAAAAGGGTACTAGGTAAGGATGGCAGATCAGTTAATGAATCATTATCATTTGGGGTGGTTGGGAAATGTTCTATGTATGCCCAACCACCGACTGCCTTAAAGAGTGATGTTTTGTGACGTAGGGGTAGGCTGGGAGAAAGCTAGGGGTGGCCACATCAAAACATGGCACAAATCCATGAAGTTACTGACAACTGGAATGAGTTATGTTACTACGTGTGATAACGATGAGTAGTCGGGCATCTGGCAGTTAAGTCAGGTAAAGCGTCAAAGTCATAGTGGTAAACAACTACTTATCGGACAACTTGACTAATGTGATGAACGGATTTAAGAAACTTGTCGGGGACAATATCTATGATTCTCAAAGTCACTAACTCCGGAAGTTAGGGATTTAATGTATATAATGACCGAAAAAATAGATAGTACACTTTCAGCTCCGAACTGCTCCAATGGTTAGCAATCTCTACTCGTCAGTAACTCTTACCTTGGCAGTTGTAAACCCCACTGCCAGATGAACGCTCTAGATTAGTTATAAAGCTACTCATGTTAGGCTTTTTTCATCTATGTAACTAATCGATTAGGCGCACTATGTGTACGCAATAGACCATGATTGTTTTTACTTACATTATTAACTATGGCCTATTTATGTTCCAAGTACATTTTAGGGGAAAATCGAGTTCACAAGTAGTAAAACGCCATTATGATCTTCATTAGGTTAGGACTTATTTTAAATTTATTGGATCGTGTCCATTAGTAGGTACTGTATGAGATAACATTTGCACATCCACTGGAACTACGTCACTCAAACCCGTTTTGTTAGATCTGTGCAACGGGATTTTACCCCACTTTAAACATAATGATGAACTGTGAAATATCTACTGACCGGGAAAATAAGACGGAATATAATGATAAAATATATAGTATTTACCACATATATCCTATTCTGAATATAAATCTCACTATCTCTACAAAAACATTGGGTTTTATTCGCTTAGGAAAAACAATGAGACACATGACCTCACTAAATACGGTATTAAACAATTACGAACATTACTTTAAGAGGGTTTAAATGTAGTCTGAAGTGACAAAATGATTCACTTAATTCAATTTTTAAAAGGGAATAGAAGTAAGAATACATATCAACTATGGACGATTTTCCCTTGCACCTAATAAGCGATTTAGAGGACAAAACACTCATCATTATACTATCTTCAAACAAGCTACTGACCGATTTCCATTTGACATGATTCATATAAGCTTCCTTCGAATATATTGTTGTATGGATGTATAAATTTATCCTCAAAATCATCTGAAATCTGCTTCAATTTACACTACTACAGCATATACATTACAGATATATTCGAACTGCTTCCATAAATTATAACTGTATTGGTCATGAATAACTAGTTTCTTATCGAATAATTTCTCAATGAGTTCTTGTATTTCATTGGTAATAAGTTAAGTGTTCTCTTATTGATCAATGCATTTTTATATGACCATTTAAAATGAACTGATTATTTTTGTGCTCATTTGAACAGAAAATGAGTTGTTGTTAAGTTTATCGGTTTGAATGCCAGTTTTTACACAAGCAAATTTATATTTTTTGAAAAATCATTTATTATTTTGACATGTTTATACATTAATACGCAGAGAAATCAAAAATCGTTTGATTTTATTTGATAGTCCGACGTATCTGACACACTTGTAATAGTACGCTCATAACCCAACTCGATAATTTTGGGGTTGGGGTTCTAGCATGATTTGATGTGTAATTATTAGGTAACTTATGAAAATGTTATAAACAGGTGGATGATGTTGTACCGAAGCAAGTAAGTAACCGTACAATAAAGAAAAAAAAGTGCACTTAGTGTATTAATTACAATGCAATACTCATTCGAATTCATCATATAAAATCTACCGGTTTTTAATGTTGTTACAAAACTAAATAATTTGGTTAAAAGGACAGGAAAAAGATATCATTTAAAAATAAAATTCTGAAATAAATTATTCCAATTTGTCTTTTAATGGAAAGACTTCAGTAAAGTCTTTGGCATTACGAAGTTTCTTTTTTATATGGGAATCGATTTTGGATAACTCGGCAGTTAATTTTACAACTGTATTACATCGGAACATTGTCATAAGCTCCAGTTTAACAGCACTTGAAATCTCCTTTATTGTATTTCCTTTCATACCTAAAACACTTAACTGAAAAGCAGAATTAATCATTATTCGTTGAATATTCTTAATAAAAATGATTCGAATATTTTAATATTTCCACAAAATTTGATTTAATATAGCGACAATTCATACTTGTACGTAAACAAGTTGAATTTAACAGTAAAGGTACCACGTCTCACTAACATACAGAATAAAACAAAAGAAACTTTTTGACCAGATCTTGAGTATGAGCCACACCCTGAGTGAGAGAGATGTTGATAGATACTACACGGTCGCTGAAAGTGAAATGGCTAGAAACCAGAAACCTTTCCCACTGAGTTACTAGATAAATTCACTTTATTTACAAACATACTGGGACATAAAAACGGTTTATTAGTGGTAGAAATAATGACCAGACGGCCAGCTATATATTTGGCGACACTTGAGGAATCGGTTAATCGAACAAACGCTACTGAATAAAACACAGTATAGAATTCAAATAAAAATGAAACTGGTACTTCATGGCACAGTCAGTAATAATTGGACGTAGACAATGAAAATGCTGCATTCGAAGATTTTCTGAGAACTTTACCACTGAAAACAGAAAGCCATTAGAAATTATGATAGGTGAAGCTTTCTTAAATATCCTTGGGTCAAATGACAAAACAGAAATAATGGTCACATGGAAAACTCTTGCGCTCTACACAGTACTAGTTGCTACACTGTACGATACAAGCTACGAATGGTAAACTAAATTAAGAGTTAAAAAAGCAGGTTATATAAACGTCGTGCTAGGTTCCTTATTTTTTATGGTTCACACGTACATAATTTGTAGTGTATACACTCAGCATTGTCAACACCAGCTTGCATGTGTGTTTATAACTTTTGAGTTAATCACATATTGTTTGTCATTGCTCGATCATAAAACCGCAGACTATGTGTCACATAGACGCTTAGATTTATAGCAGATCTATAATAATAAATAATAATTTGGGATGCTATATTATGAATAAATTATTAGCGAAAACTCACTAACTGACGTTCACTTTTACATTGTATGCGGACATGAACGTATACACGATCATCACCAGTGTCCAGTTTAATTTTGTCACAATCATCCACGATAATATGCAAGGAGTAGGGAATTTCTTGTCGTAATTTGTTTAAACAATGTGACCATACACACATTCGTATGAGCTCACTTGGTTCCTGATCAGTTATCATTGTGGGAGGTAAGATCCAAGAGCGACTCGGTACAGCTTTGGATACAAGGAAATCCTATTGCGAAAAACAAGGAAATCTTCAGCACATTTTCTGAGAAAATGAGAAAATTGGAAATTTAGATCAATTAACGCTTATGATTATAACGATTCAAAAACTTGCTATCTGATCAATAATTTATTCGCGTTATTAATTGTCAGTTGGACTGAATCGCGATAAATATATCATAACTTAGTGCTAAATCAGTCAGTCAGTCAGCAACAACAAAGAACTTCGTACGTGCGTACATCAGTTCAAGTTGCTATACCACATTAGCACATAGACGCAATTGTCAATTCCAGTCCTATAGTGATAGAGGGAGTAGAAGTACGAGCAGTAATCGGTAAGACTAGGGTTAGAAGATATTAATCAAGGAGTATAATCCAGTGGAGTAAATCTGAGGAGAGAAAGATGAATGGAATGAGGAATTAGGATTTGAGGGAACACAGAGAGTGGATACACCTATGCTACTGCAAACAAATTTGAGCCATGTCATTCAAAGTCTCTAACCTTCGGTTACTAATGTTTCGCCGACTACAAACACGTACTAACACAACTCAATCTAGTTGTCAGTTACTTCATGGATTTGTGCCATATTTTGGTCAGGTCGCTCCTAGCAGCCGACACGCTCAATTACTACACTCCCTATCACTAGTTGAGGCGCCAATGCAAGACAACCCTGAAGCAACATTGCGCATGTTGAAGGGGAGGACTGCATCTCAAACACGCATGCCTTACTGCTCAACGTGGTCAGAAGTCTCTGCATTTTGCCAGAGTCTTCACCAAGTACAACTAAAGCATCGGCATATTCTACGTCAACAAGTGAATCTTCCGGCGAAATTCCAACTCCTGACAAGTCAGACGAAGATAGAGCTACTTCTACAATCATATCTATGACAATCTTGAATAGGAATGGAGAAGGTGGTCAACCTTGACGAACATCACTTGAGGTAATCAATTCCTACAACAGCTCGCGACAGGTTCTGACTCGATCACTAGTGTTCGAGTACAGCGCCTACACAAATTCAATGTACTCCTTCGGTACTTGTTTTATCGACAGACGCTGACACAGAACCGCCTTAAGGTCAAACAATAGAACTGTTGTGGGACGTATGAACGTGTGTATGTTCTGAGACCTGATATCGGATTTGAATTGACAATTATATCTCTGTGCTGATGTGGCATGGCAACATGAACTGATGTACTTACGTACCAAGTTCTACGTTGCATCTGTCTGTCTAGAGTGCGGTTTCAGGAGACCAGGAATAACGTTTTGTGTACTCAAATCCTGTGTCAGAGGTGTGGCGTGATAAAGGAATGTGAGAATGGTTAGTCGTAGGGATAAGAGAGATGTTAGGGGGTGTAGGAAAGATTTGTTTGTGACCGATTCGGTCTCGAGTGCTATTACGGGTATGAGGGCGGATGAAGTTTCCCGGCAGTCCAAACTGTAGAAGGCTACTTCTCGAGGCACCTGAAAAGGGAAGTAGATTAGTGCTGATCTCAACGATCTGGAAGCGTGACCACAGAGCCCAAGGGAGAATTGCATGACGTCGGTCACGCAGACTTTGAGAACACAAACAGTGGATGCACATGCGCCATTGCAAAAAACTTTGAGGCATGTCATTCAAAGTCTTTATCCGTCAGTAACCATTGTTTCGCAGCACAAACACGTACTAATATGACTCAATCCAGTTATCAGTGACTTCAGGGATTTGTACCATCTTTTGGCCTTGACACTGTTAGCTTTCTTCAAGCCTACCCCTATACAACAAAACGTCGCTTGTCGAGGCTTGCGTATCGTGATAATCCAATAGAGCTTTATTGGATGGAACATACGTTCTTGTAGGTCCAACTACGGCGAACTATCATTATAAATCGTTACTTCAAGTGTCTGTCTACCAGGAGACACGCTTGCTGACTTAGAATATGCTTATGACATAGTCCTATTCGGTGAAGACGCTGACAAAATGCAAAATATTCTGACTACCCTAAGTAACAATGCAAGCATGTTCGGGATGCGGTTCTCACCCTCGAAATCCAAAACGTTGCTTCAAGGTTGGATTGCATCGGCAGCTGAACTAGTGATAGGGAGTGAAGTAATCGAACGTGCAGACCGCTTCACTAATCTCAGGAGTCTCATCAGTGCTGACGGCCTGGTGTGTGACGAAATCTCAGCACGGATACTTATGGCATAGACGAGATATCCGTTTGCTGACTAAACGACGAGTTTACTGTGCAGCAGTCAGCTCCGGCCTAATATATGGACGCGAAACATGGTCAGTTAGGGTATAAGACACCAAAGGTTAGAGAACTTGAACGACATGGTTCAAAATCGTTTGCGATGGCGCAGGTGCACCCACTCTTTGTGTTCTGGCAAATCCTAATCTTCAGAATTCTTCATCATCTCTATATTTCTCTTTCTAAATTTATTTTACTGAATTTTAATTCTTGAATATTATCTTCGATCCATAATATTCTTCATTACCAGTAATTCTTCTGCTATCTGTACTACTATGGTATTAGAACTGACGGTTGCCTCTCTCTGCTAATGCGGTACGGCAACCTGAACTGATGTACGTACATATGAAGTTCTACGTTGTAACCGACTGACTGACTACTATGATAAACAGGTCGATTGGAAATGACCAAAAGCAGCAACTCAAAGTCGAAGGGGGAATCCGTACCTCTGAATATGGAGAGGTGTGACAACAGTAAGGTGTTTCCCTCGGACAACCAACATCTACAGAGATCCGGCTTTCTCACAATGATAAGAAGAGGGTAGAGAAGGGCGATCATATCAATGTCACACCTCACCTTATCCCACGGATTTCCGTCTCCGGAAGTAAGATTATTTGAAGAGTGGAGTTAACACTTCCAAAATATCCCACAAAACGCTGCGCGCGACCAGCGTCAAGCAGTTCTCACTTGGGATATATGGTAACGCTCTCACGTCTCTAAGACCAACACTAATCGAGCTTCCTTTCCAGGTTCTTCAAGAAGTGTCTTTCTACGGTTCGGGCAGCCAGGAATTGACATCCGCCTTCATACTCATAAACCGTACACGAGACCAAATTGGTCACAATCAAATCCCTCCTATACATCATAATTCTAAACTTATATATATATATATATATATATATATATATATATATATATATATATATATATAATAGCTCACCCTTAATTTGTCTATTCCATCACCTATAAACGAAGATACCATAAAAACCTCACTGAAACCTAACCACTTTGTAACACCTTTGGTTGCCTTTGTTATCTCTAACCAACGTTTTCGACGATTACAAACTTCTTCAGGCGATGCTGTTTGAAGCAACAACTGTTGTTTTAAAGTTTCCAACATGGAATCGATACAATCCGTATTATCATTCACACCAAGAATTTGATTCGATTCATCAAATGTGTTCAAAAGATGTTGGTTGGTTTCAGTCTTTGATTCAGAAAGCCCTTGAATATCTGAGGGCATTATTTTATTATTTCTTAGTATGTTATGGTAACCGAGAAATGTTTCGGAACTCTGTTTTTCCACATCAGTTAGAAAATGATCTTTCACGACAGCTAAAAGTAAAGGAAAGAGCGAATTAAGAGTGAGCAACTTTATAGTTTATAATTTCAAAAGGCCTTCTTCTATGTGAGAAACAATTGGTTAGACTTAAGGAGCTTTGCTACAACTTATTCTTCTAGTGTAAAGTAAATTCATATTTATGACGCATGAACACGACGTTACTGTCATTAACACTAAGGCTTTCTAGACCAAAAATTTGTTTCATATTGCATTTAATGATAGATCTTCGTGAGGAAGAAGAAAATTGATTGTAAACACAAGAAGTTGCACCGATGCTTTCAAAAGAACACAAAAAGCACTTATGAGATCGGAATCTCATGGACCTAGGATTACAATGAATATCATCCAGTGCTATGCGCCCACCAACTATAACGATGAATATTATCGAGATCAATTCTATGAAAGCCTGCAGTTATTCGTCGGGAAATGCCCACCAAAGGATCTGACTATTCTGATGGGAGACATAAACGCCAAAATCGGGATGGACAACAGTGGATATAAAGACATCATAGGACGACGACATAGACAGGTAAAAAGGGTCGAAAACGGATCAGTGACTCGCCATTAAAAATGGTTATATATAGCACTACACATCCCCACAAACACCTGCATAAAGCTTTGTGGGGTTCACCAGACCGCATTACAGAGAACTAAATCGATCACATTTACATCAATAAAACACTCAGAAGGATCATGGAGGACGTAAGGACAAAAAAAGTAGATAACATGGCTTCAAATCATCATCTGGTGGTGGTCAAGATGAATCTCTGGGCAACTAACTGGGCAAACAACAATACGAAGTTCCATACGGTCTTCCTCCGGAAAACTGGCGAACTCAAAGAATTCAGGACAACTCTCAGCTACAAATTTCAAAGAAGAAACTACCATGGAGAACCACTGGAAAAGGATTAAAGAAGCAACAACTTTAATTTTTCAGAAGGTTTTGGGCCACGAGAACCGCCATCGTGAGGAATGAATTTCTGTTGTTACATTGGATAAGATTCAAGAATGGGAGACGGTGATCAATAACACCCGAACACGAACAGAAACAGCCGAAGCACAAGCTGAAGACACAGAAGCAAATAAGCAAGTGAAAATGAGCATCAGAGCTGATACGCAGAAATATGTGGGTGACTTAATAATAACAATTGAAAAAGCTGCAAGAAAGGGTGGTCGGGACAGCACCTAGAGACCTTCCACCAACAATGGAAGAAATCAGGATAGACATCCAACAAATCAAGAGTGGCAGCACCCGATAAAATACCACTTGAGTTACTGAAGTCAGACATAAAAGTCGCTGCAAAGATGCTCCACGTCTTCTTCATCAAGATTTAGAAGAAAAAGCACTAACAAACTGGAAAGAAGAAAACCTCTTCAGGCTATGGAAGAAAGTGCGAGAACTACAGAGGAATCACATTATCATCAGTACCAGGAAAGGTTTCTAACAGAGTGTTGTTAGACCGGATGATCAACTTCGAGATTAACAGGTCAGATTCCAAAGGTATCAGTCGTTTGCAGAACAAATCGCGAAACTGAAGATCATTGTTAAAAATCATTTGAATGAGACTCATCAAGTTACATCAGCTTTCTTGATATGAGAAGGCATTTAACAGCACGGACCGAAAAATATTATGAAACCTTTGTTGATACTATGCAGTAACTGAGAAGATTGTCATCATCATACGGGATTCTTTTGATGGATTCAACTGCTAAATCATGCATGGAGGGCAGCTCGCAGATTCCTTTCAAATGAAGACCGGTGTCGGTTAAGGCTGCTTTCTCTCACACTTTTCTTTCTTCTGGTGGTTAACTGAATTATGAAATTCTCAACATCTCAGGGGAAGCAAGGCATACAGTGGACAGCTTGGATGCAGCTAGTAGGTTTCAACATACAAAAGAGAAAGAGTAAGATCCATAGATACAACACAACATGCACCAACCGAATCACACTTGACGGAGAAGCTTTGAAAGATGTAGAAATCTTTGCATACCTGGGTAGCATCATTGACAGACAAGGGGAATCTAATGCAGAAGTGAAGAGACGGATTGGCAAAGCAAGGGCAGCATTTCTACAGTTGTAGAATAACTGAGACTCAAAACAACTACCAACCAACACCAGTCAGAATTTTCAATACAAACGTCAAGACAGTTCTACTGTATGGAGCTGAAACTTGGAGAGCTACGAAGTGAGTAAATAAGTAAGCAAGTAGGGAACCAAGAGGAATTTCGAAAATATATCTGACACATAAAATATTCAAAACCTACGCAAAAATTAGTATACTATTCAAAATCCTGAACACCTGTAACCAAACAGTGTTATTACTTGGTATTACTGGTATGAAAGTGTAGATGCGCAAGCTGTTCATAACAAGAGATCAGTGTAATACAATCACAGACAAGTATAGTTTGAAATTTTCTGCATTCTTTTGCTTCAAATAAATATCTACTACAAGCACTTCGAAAAGACGATTGACAGCCGATTAGACATGGTTTTCCGGTTAATTTAAGTGAACCAATTATTTAGAATATTATTTCTCAGATTGTCCAAAATAGATAGATGGATACCTGGTCATGTATATATAAATAGCCTTCATTTCCCAATCACGCTGAAATTTATCATCAAGAAATATTTTTTACACATATATACACACTACTTGTTTAGCTCCTCTCCAACTCACTGAGTTGGAAAAGTATCTTTATATTTTCTAACAGCGTAACAGTTTAAATAAACTCATGGCTTTGATTAAAGTCTGTCTGCTTACATTTGAAGCATGTAATATTTCTTCTATAGAAAGTTATGACATGAGAACATGAAAAAGTCACATTTTAACATCAATCCACATCATCCCTAGAAAAAACATATACAATTACTTGATTCCAGATCAATTGGTTAATATGTAACAAGGATATGAGTATCTAAGCAAACATCAAATCACTTTACGTCTGTCAGTCAGTCAGTTGCAACGTAGAACTTCGTACGTAAGTAAATCAGTTCATGTCGCCATACCACATCAGCACAGAGATATAATTGTCAATTCAAATCCAATAGTAGAAGAGGTAGTAAAGGTATTAGAAGTAATCGGAGGGGCTAGAATTAGAAGATATTATTCATGAAGTATGATTCAGTGAGAAAAGTTTAGAAAGTCAAAACTAGAGGTGTTGAAGAATCCAGACGATTAGCATTTGAGAGAACACAAAGAATAAATGCACCGGCGCCATTGCGAACGATTTTGAGCCATGTCATTCAAGGTCTCTAACCATCGATTATTATCATCTCGCGGACCCCAACCAGGTAGTCGACAATTACCGACATGGCTAAGTCCACTAGTCAATGAGTTCATGGATTTCTGTCATGTTTTGGTTTGGCCGCCCCTAGATTTCTTCCAACCTATTCCTACACTTTACGTCTAAGAAGTTTCAAATGAGCAGTAATATATAGAACGAGTAAAATTATGCAATGTTCGCTAGATAACAATCTACCATCACATCTGCTTGTTATGTTAAGTGATTATGCTACAAACTTGATCGATATAAACTTCTAAGTACTGAAAACCATGAAATATAATGTTGGCTAGCATATAAACCAACATTTCATGACTGTACGAATAAACGAAGTGAGAATTCAAAATGCTAACCTTATGATTCCGAACATGCATTGTTTGTAACACCATACAGAACATTAATTACTAAATAATAGTTCGATATATCGAGTAGCAGTGTTACCTGTTAGTGTGAAGGAATCGGTGCCTCACGCTAAACTAGAGCTGTCAAATAAAACTACTAAATAATTACAAGCCATTGGCATTTTTATACCACTGAGAATGTGTAACAAAGTCAACAATTGAGTAATTACGGAGTTGGAAAAAAGGACCCAGGTGACAAAATGTACACACTAAGTATGCAAGCTGAATCACAAAAACGTGATTGGAAGATATTTGTTATGTACTGACATTTGCTATCGCAACTACATAATGTTAGGTCAAGTAGAATCAAAATCGAGGAACCATAAACAAATAAATAATGCTATTTCAATAAAACTGGACCATCATAGACACGAATCTGAGGAAAATGAGTTGATTTTCATCCTAGTATTAGGCTGTAGCGTACATGATAATGGAGAGGTGTAGCTTTTTTGAGAAATTAAACCCCAAAATCAATAAAGTATAAAAATTTGGGAATCGATAATGATAACTCTTACCAACTGAAAACGACGTTTTGTCTACCATATTAGCTGGTAGTAATGTAGAATCTGTTCTGTCCACGTCAACTTGTGTCGATTCAATCTGAGCTAGTAAATTATTCATATAAACAAGAAATTTATTCGTTGTCTGATGGCATACAGCAGGTAATCTAGCTGCAATCAATTCATTAGGAGGAATGAGATGATGAGCTGTGTTGGCTAACTCTGCTTGACGCTTGAATCGATTTGCGTATCTATCAATATGTGAACGTCGACCGTGCACAATGCCACCAGTAAGTTTCCGTGTAATTTCCAATAGTCTTGTTGGATTTTTAGACAATCTATCAATCTATAGTGTATTTATAAAAAGAGCGAATAGAAATAATATGATAAAATCGATATTATGGACAGTCTTTTGATAACTGAGGGGACATTTTATTTACCTTGTTTAATACTAATATTGATTCCTTATTGTTGAAGAAGTGTAGTGCTTTTACAATCTCTTCATGTAGTACTTCACGTGATTCCTTATGACTGACATCGACGACCACAAGAACTGATAGTGGAAATATAAAAATACAAAATAAGTTAAATATTCCTTAAAAATGTCTATGAATTGTAGAATACAAAAATACACTGACCCTATTCTTTATTTAGAATGTTTATTAGTCAATACATCAATTTGTTGACCAACTTTTCTGCTTTTTGGTAGGTTTTCATGTGAGATTTGAGGACTGATTCTCTAAGAAAATATAAATTCAGTCAATTTAAGGTTTTATTGGATCGACTGAGGCATAATAAGAACTAATGAGACGTATGTATGAAGGGAATCATCAAAGCTTCCGTACCAAATTTTATGCAACAAGCACTTTAAATCATCAGGTCAAGATGAGTGAACAGTTGAAATCGAAATGATTAATGAGATGGATTATCAGAATTCTCAGACAGACATAAACTAATAATGTGTTCTTCACATATTGATGCTCGCAAAGAAGGTGCATCTGAAACTATAATGCTGATGCAATAAAAACGTGAACGCGAATCACTCAGATACACAAAGATGTCTGTGCGTTGTGAATCCTATAGTGGTATGTTTCAAAATCTTATTTTGTAAATTAAAAACAAGTATTTTGTAACGTCAACAGGTTTAAGCAAATTAACAACCTTGTTTGAGATACCAAGCGGAATACTGAGGTTAAATAATTCATTTTATCAGAAAATAGATAAATAAAGATACACTCAAGAACGGATATAGACAGTCCATCACATTACACTTAAGAAGCTAGAAATTTCGTTCTGTTTGAAATCCTTAAAGAGTTAAAAAGATAGGATGAACGGAGAAGTACTTCTTTTCTATTAGTTCCTTACGAAGACTACACTAATAAAAAAACCTATTAAAAGGAAATATTTCTTCACACATCCTGTCTTTACATAGTTGTTTAATTTTATTGATTCGAGGACTGATGGCCTTTTATTTTGCTGTATTTTTAAGAAGTGGAGAACCACAAAATAATAGTTACTAATTTCCCATAAACTAAATCCAGTCCATGTACACTTTTAAATAACAGTTTTGAGTAGCATACTCAAGCATATTTGGTAAATTGAATATAATTTGCCACTAACTTACTCATATCAGAATCAAAAATAGCAGAATGTGGATCTCGAATGAACGTTCTTTCAAGTTTGAATCTGAAAGCCAAAAGTAATTTAAGTCTCATAAAAAGCGTACCTTACCTGGAGGCTTTTGATCTGCTAACAAGTCCGGGTAGGTCAACAAATGCCTAGTGAAACGAAACGTTATTTCAATGTCATATTTAAGTGAACGAGAATTCAAAATTTTAAAACCACATATTTTAACCAAACCTGTAATGTTGTAGAGTAAATCTAACAAAAACCTTTCTAATTGATATCTGTTATTCTAATGATAAAAGACAGGACAATTTGTACAAACACGCTGATATTTTACATTACTCCACATTAATTTTTCTGCTAAGAAACTTTCGATTTACAAGTAAGTTACATATATAGAGCCAATGAAGGAAGACTTTTGTTTTTCCGAATTAAGTGCGCAAACAAACAAATATTCATTTACAAAAATGAAAATATACTAAAACGATTGGAAGCTGCCAAGTGTTATTTTCCTTTTCCTCACTCACTGTTTGAACAAAAAATTATTTTTTTTAAAAACAAATAGACAGTTTAGTTGAACCGAATGTCAGAAAAAAAACATTTCAGCACATTATTTTGGTTGGGTTGTGGAAAATTGTATAATAATAAGCTGAGGGCCAGTTGAACTGATCTCTAAAGTGTTCTGCCCATCGATCCAATCTCCTGGATAGAGAATAAATAATAAGACCATCCTTTGCTGAGGTAGTTTCGCTAGTAGATGGATTTCTAATACCGGTTTCCTTGACAAGTCGGAACAACTGTCTACTGTTGCCTATTGACGCTGCCTTTTCCATCTCTCTTGCTTTTGCTACCCACCACTTTTCGCGATCATTGCGTAGGCTTTTTATCAGCCTGCGCTTCAGCTGACTTCTCTCTTCGTCAGGTTCAGAGCCAGATGGGATGAGTTTACGAGCGTCTCTCAGTTCGGTTGATGCTATTGAGATCCACGGTTTCTTCCTAGCCTTATGGTTTATCCTACTAGCAGATGTCAGTGTTTATTCCACAGCCTTTTTGTTATCATTCAAAGCTGCCTCAGGGTGAGAACCACTTACATGGTCGTCTAACCGTCTTTCTATTTGCCCCTGAAATATATTCTTAGCTGTGCTATCGTTGAGTAGATCCATAAAGGTTTCTTTGTGGTGTCTTTCCTAAGTCCAGTAGGACGCAAACAAATTCGTGATCGTACTAGGTCATGATCCGAATCTAAACATGTGCCTCAGTCCTTTCTCAAACGCTTCCAGCGGTGGGTGATGACAATGTGATCTATTTGGGTCCAGCGTTGGGACTACTTTGGAGGTCGCCAGGTCAAAAGATGTTTTTCCTTTTGCCTAAAGTTAGTGTTCGCTAGAAATAGGCGGTTATCTGAGCAGAGTTGCAACAGACGGTCGCCATTATCTGTTCGATCAGCCGCCACATCATAACATCCACCCAAGTGTCTTTCATTTTCACTCAGTCTACCTACTTGAACATTAAAGTCACCAACCATTTTTACTACATCAGAGAGCCTAACTTTTTGGAGGAGGTCCGATAGCTTTCTGTAAAACTTATCTTCCACCTCGTCTGAACCGCAGTCAGTGAGAGCGTAGGCAGATACGACGAAGAGGCAATGGCGAGTGTCCCTATCTTTACGAGTCCTTACTGTCCCGTTCAGTCGGGCAGCGCACAAGTGATTATCTACTGGGATCCAATCTAGGAGTGCTAGTTCTGCCCTACGACTCAATGCTCTACCTACGCCAGAGAGACCCTGGGAAGCAGCTTTAGGGCTACCAGATACACGTAGAGTAAATCGAGCTGCCTCTTTAATTTGACAAGGTGAAATCAAAATATTGATCTTACTTGGATCCTGTAAGCGCGTTTCGGAGACGCAGCATACATTGATGGCCCGAGATCCTAAAGTCCTAGCTAAGGAAGCCTGTTGCCCTATTTGACACAATGTCCGTACATTAAAAGCTCCAAGATGTAATCTAGAACGAGGTTTCAGGAGACCAAGAATGAAGTTTCGGGAACTTGAATCGTTCACATTAGCGGTGCCGTTTGGTAAAGGAATGTAGGAAGAGTTAGCTGTGAAGATAAGGGGGATGTTAAGGGGTGCAGGAAGGAATCGATTGTGACCAAATTGGTCTCGTGTGCGGTTTATGATTATGAAGGCGGATGTCAATTCCTGGCTGCCCGAACCGTAGAAAGACACTTCTTGAAGAACCTGGAAAGGAAGCTCGATTAGTGTTGGTCTTAGAGACGTGAGAGCGTGACCACATATCCCAAGTGAGAACTGCTTGACGCTGGTCGCGCGCAGCGTTTTGTGGGATATTTTGGAAGTGTTAACTCCACTCTTCAAATAATCTTACTTCCGGAGACGGAAATCCGTGGGATAAGGTGAGGTGTGACATTAATATGATCGCCCTTCTCTACCCTCTTCTTATCATTGTGAGAAAGCCGGATCTCTGTAGATGTTGGTTGTCCGAGGGAAACACCTTACTGTTGTCACACCTCTCCATATTCAGAGGTACGGATTCCCCCTTCGACCTTGAGTTGCTGCTTTTGGTCATTTCCAATCGACCTGTCGGTCATAGTAGGACTTACATGAACGTACGTTCCAGCCAATATAGCTCGACTGCCTATCATAATTATGATAGGCAAGCCCGATCACCACGTCGAGTAACTGCCTAGCTCAGCATTGACAAACGTTTATGTATTGTTAGGTTTGAAAGCTCCATTAAAGTGAGAATATATCATTGTTATTGTGTAGCTCATCATATTTTGGTGCTTAGTTGTACCAATATATTTGTGCGTAAATAAATACATCCATACACATCATTGAATCTGAAGTGTATGTACATTGGTACAATCCATCACACATGATGAGAACAGCGACATGAAAATGTCAAAAAATCCCACAGTACAGTTAATAACAATATTAGTGGTACTAGAAAAGATTGGACATAGAAGATAATATAGGTTAGAAGAATGGTGATCAAAAAATTTTGCAAGGTAACCAAAAAACTTGAGATTTAAGCGACGACAGGGAACGAATACATTTGCGTCTGTCCAGGCAATTTTAGCCGTGTCACTCAAAGTGTCCAAATATTAGTTATTTTTTTAGTTACGATAAGCATAAAGACCACAACCACGCAAATGGCACCTACCTAGAAGGCTGAGTCAAACAGTATCTTTATCGACTGATGTGAATTTCCATTGGTTATAATCCTTCACACTGTTAAAATCTGCAAACGAATTGTAATTTAAATATTACCAAGTCTTCCTTTTTCTATTAATTATTTTGGTTTAGACCTAACTGATCGCAGTTAAAAGTGCTTTTTGAGCCTGATAAGCAGTTAAAATACGCAAAGCATGACTTAACCGCACCAATTACTGAATGTCGACTACTCAGCCAAATGACTCGTTACATCTAACCGCAAGCTCTGCCTTAAGTTTCCATCATTCAATAAGAAAATTTACCAATAGTAGCGCATCATAATCATGACAGAAGTCCACGTAAGAAAAACACTCGCTCAGTAAAATTACATTCCTTAAGAACAACAGTTGATGAAAGTAAATGACTTTAATTTGTGTACGCATTGCGAGTAAACATACTGTCAGCTCGGTTTTCTAATTGTTGATAATCCCTATTCTCAGAGTACAGTGAAACTGCATAATATGGGTTCGAAAAAGCTTTATATATCTATACACACTTACCAACTGGACATTATTTTGAAAATATGTAGCTGTTTGTTTCGACCGGGTAGTGTGAGCTTTTCCGGACACAGCACAAACTCTCCACTTGGTAAGCATATTTACTAAACTTGATTTTCCACTATTTGGACAGCCAATCACGGCAATCTTTAGAACTCGAGCATCAGGAGGAGAAAATGGTTGTTGAAGTAACAACTTTTCCAGATATTCTCCTGCGATGAAAAATAACGAGAATTTTAAAATATAAAAGAATATCGTGGATTAAAATGACTTATAAAATTAGAGCCAATACCTAAGGAAAACCATCATCTGAAATAAAAGGAACAATCACCTAATTTCTGTGGGTTTTATGTATACAGAAAATTGAATTTCAAAATATTTGCTACTTAGAAAGATGAACATGGCATTTAGCTGTTACAAGTGTACGTTACTATAAACAGAAACATATTGTATTTTAATGCCATCCTTCACGAATTTGTCCGCAGATATCATGTGAGTAAAATAACGTTGAAGTGCAAGGTATCTGTGAGGATTAAAGCATGGTTTTGTTGGAACAGTGAATAAACGTCCCATGGCAGCCGGTGACCAACAATAAGTTCATACGCCATTAGTTTCATCACGATTCTGGAGTCCATGTGCACCCCTAGTTTGTAATCAGGGTTTCCAACTCCTCTAGAAGGATCATATGAATCCACCAACCAGAACAGCACCGGACACTCGATCTCGTGAACATTACAACCACGAGAAGGCAGTAGAGAGGACTTTCCTGGAAGTGGTTATTTGCAAATAGCCATGTGATAGAGATTCGAGAGTAAGAACTCTCTTCACTCTTGACTGTACTAAGGCGTTGGGGCGCATTTATTTCGAGTTTCAAATATTTTTCGGTTGTATAAATGACACCCATGCCTTACCGATTCGCCTGTTCATACCTGAACCAGATCCTCCTTGATTACTTACGGTGCAGCCAATGTACGGGAAGACTACCACCTCCTTCAAAGCTTCATTATAAAGTGTGATTTTGTTGGTGCTCTCTGTTTTGTACTACAGTACCTAGATTTTCCCTTGTGAACATTGAATAATCTCGAAAAAATTTGGAACAATCATTCATTCTAGACCTAGGAGATTCTATTGATGACAGAATACTTGGGGAAGCAGTTCAACTGGCCTTCAGCCACACATCAGTTATCCACGACTTCCATTCAACATGAATGCTAACTTGATGTAAGTCATCCGACTGTTTATGAAGTTGAGAAAGCTATAGGAAATCTGAAGAGAGGGCTAGCTTCAAGGCCTGACAGACTTACCTCTCAGATTTTTAAGGATGGTGGTCCAGTTTTAGCAGTAAGATTGAATGAGATCTTAGCTAGAATCTGGGAACTGGGAGTAATCCCAGTTAATAACAAGCGAAATCAAAAAAGGTGATATTAAGTAACCTTGTCCATCAGCCGTCGTCGATTCGGATGGATGTGAGCTTTCCTTGAAGTATGATTTTAAAATTCAGACTCTCTCATGAGATTTTTACAATGGTAACTACCTTATCAGGCACCCCATAGTGTTGAGGACTCCAAAAAATGCTTCTATCCACGTTATCGAATGCTTTCTCACAGTCAAGGAAGTTACTATATAGTGATTTTTTATATTTCAGGATTACGATTAGAATTGGCAACATTGGATACAATGCTCAGGAAACTGAGATACTCAGAGAATTAAATATTCATACTTCTCAATAGACTGTAATTGCAAGATCGATAAAAATGGGTGAGAATAAGGACGGTGAATGTTTTCCGTGACCATCAATCAAGATTCATCTTAAATCACATTTTTCATACGCTTCCACGTGAAGCACAAGAAATAAAAAGACCTCAGCAGAATGATATGATTACCAAGATACATTTTAGCAAAGCATAGATAATAGATATCTGGACTGATGAGATTTAAAGCTATTCTTAATCAAGAGTGAACATCAAAATGTCCATAGGAATTCGCTGTAAATTTTGGAAAAATTTGAAGGCAGGGTTTAGATATATCTGCACGTTGTCCAGTTTTTAAAATGCGACAAACGTTTTTGGTGACTCACTTCATATTCAAGTTTGTAATTTGAAATTAACAAACTTAAATGTTTTACCTTAATTATTATCTTAGAACTCTGACAGTAACTAACACCAATGGTAACTATTAGTTTACTTAAAAATCTTGGAGTGCAATCAAAGCTCAAAATCCATAAGATCAAACGCTTAATACGGCTTTAAGTTAGTTATAATCACAGATTTTAGTTAAACTAAGAATATCCGACATCGGGTTCGACTTATTCCTTAACTGGAATAAATAGAGAACTGGTAAGTTCCTTAAGGTCATAATTTTACAAATACATAATCTGTGTCTGTTTGTCTTCAAAATAATTGCGCTTAGTCTAGTATCTCTAAAAAAATCAGGATACCCATGTTTGCTCATGCCATGAAACCTTACTATTTCGTAATCTTAGTTCCTAGTAGTTTTTGCCTTCAGTTTGTTTCGGGTTCTATACCTGAATTATGTAAGATTTCACTAAGAGCAGTGAATCCAAGCAGCCGGCCCATGGTTTACTGGGGATGCTGTCACACACAATATATGAGGACTAAATTAGTGGCAGGTTTTTCCAAACTCTCCTATGACCAGCGCTTAAAACGCCCAAACCTTTACCTATCTGATCACAGAACAATGTGACCCCAAATAGTCACTCCGTATTTTATAAAAACGATATCGTGTGAAAGGTCTTTTTTGTTAATCTCCTGATAGAACTAATCATGCCCACTACAACAGTAAGGTTCGAGAGCCACAATGAAATCAACTTAAGAGATGATCCCATTTTTCATCAGTGGTTAATGGGCAACACGATCTAGCTGAACAGACAATCATTTCTATCAGTGAAAACTTTGAGTTATACTTTGGATCTTCATTGAGAATCAAACTGTGAGAATTAGCGCAAGCCAATTCAATAGACCTAAAGTCTTTAATAATGAGGTTACTACAGTACAATGAGGACCACAAAAAACATGTACAGGTTTTGAGGACAGTTGGATTCCGATGTCCAAACTTTTAATGCCCAACTAAATTCATGAATCTACGAAAATCGAATATATATGCATCTTTATTTGTAACCTACTTTTCGTGTGTGGAACTGACTGTACTTGAGGCTGGTATACGGATTGTTCTGCCAATTCATTTGTACTCAAAAGTCTACGAACCGACTTAGCTGGACAACTAGTCGTACGAAAAAATTTTACGAAAGAATAACTCCATAATCTACTCAAGGACATAGTTCGAATCTGTACGACCTTCAAAAACAAACTGCAATAATAGTTTGAAGCACCTATTTTTTTATTTCTGTGCTGGAAAGAATGGAAGGACGAGTGGCCTGTTTTGGCCTGAGCAGTGTTGATGTCTTTGTCTACCCGACTTCCTTGCGAATGCATCGACATATGGAGCTTCAATCATTGTTGCGGTAAGTATTCTATTAGTTGATGGCTTGATGAGAAATTTTGTAGTTGATCGACAAGTAGTTTTTTGGGCTCGTGTCCACGTGAGTCTTCTGTTGTGGGAGTCAAGGAACATGGGATCAGAAAAGATGCAAAAATATCATTAATTAAACACTGTGTCGAAGTCGCTACTGGTTCTACTGTAAAACAAGGAAAATAGGTTTGGTTTATGCCGTTAGTTAGTTCAGTAGCGGTCCTTCGAACTTTTAGTTACAACTTACTATCTTTTATATGCAGGGGCTGGCTCCTTGTAAACAATACTCAAGTTCAGGACGAACGAACACTGTATATAGCATACAGCATATATATTGCATACAGCATTGGTATGAATAGGGGCACTATGTACTGAATATAGGTTTCTTATATTTTTTGGTGGCTTTTGCATGTTGACATGAACTGGTATAAAAATCTAGACTAATAAGGACACCTAGATCAATGTGTGTTCGGATAACAGGTAGCTAAACTCAATCACCGCTTATTCTTTATACCTTGTTGGCCAATATCAATCATACTCCGCTTAAAGGCGGCTATTGATAAACAGTAGATCATTCTGATAGTTTCTCCATATCATTTCGAAGTTCCATTCTCTCACCGCATTTTGTCGCTCTTCATACTTTTATATCGTCATCATTTTACAAAACCAGTGATGGTGGTGTAGTGGCTGTTGATGCGATAGCACTACATATTAATAAGGAGCCGATTACAGAAAAGGAAAGCTAATCCAATTACGTGATATCAAAAAACACCGAAATCGTGATAGAAATGAGTGGCTGAATTGCAGAGACAGTCGAGCTAAAATCACAGAAACACTAACGGAAAGTTTGCGCGTACTTGGTGTTTCAAACAAAGAGTTTTAGTAAAACGATAATAATGGATGTTCCCATCAAATCAGATCTCTTCATTAGAGTGGATTCACCACACTAGATCCTCGCTGGAAAGGGTTTACACTTTCGATGCGTAGCGGCTTCGCTCGTGGCAGTGATCGGCGAAACGTGTATTTGTAGGATGGAAGGGTTGATGAACAGGAAGTGATCCATGAAGCTCGAGTTATTACCAAGTGCCTTTTACGGTGAATCGTACAATTAGTAACGTGCCAGGTTAGATGCAAGAGCTGGAGTGCCACACCTACGAACATCTCTGTGTTGATGTGGTATGGCCACGCCCAGGTCGAAAACCAGACTGGTTTTCTCTTGTATGCTCTTCACGAGCACCAGTAAGAGTCTATGTATAATAGAGGCTGACAATTTAGAAACTATATTATTTAGACTGATTCCTCTGTGATTGTCACAAGAAGACTTGTTTCCTTTCTTATAAATTGGGACAATAAAGGATTGAGACCAGTCGGATGGGATTGTGTCCAGTACCCAGATTCTACCTAAGCTCTCAATCAACCTAGCTGCTAAAACTTGACCACCATCCTTAAATATCTCAGGGGTCAGTCTATCAGGACCTGCAGCTCTCCCTCGCTTCAGATTTCCTAACGCTTTCTGTTAGGATATTCATCCAATATCCTAAGAGAATTATTGGTCAAATCCTATTGGTCGATTTCTATTGGTCAAAATTATGGTCGTTATAACTGCCAAAAGTCAAATACTTCAATGATTGTGTGTTGGAAGTCACGACTCAAAGATGGTTTGCAGATAGAGTATAATAATAATAATCATAATAATATTATTAATAATAATAATAATTTATTCTCATGTTACAAGGGACATGCCAATTTACAAGCAAGATCAAAAATTTGAAGATTAGCAATATATTTCTTTTAAAACGGTTTACGGTTACTGAAACATTTCAAAAGATTCATTGTATTCTTTAAGATGGAATGTACAATGCGAATAATTGGCGCAAGTTACGAAGGTTGCGTTACGACAATCATCTTATGGACTGAGAAACGAATCATGGTAGAGATAGGTTTTCATATAACAAGAATTGATGCGGTAAATGTATAAAGGTCTGGTTGATATTCATCAGCTAATGATTGCACATGTTCTTGGGTAGGGTAACCAAGTCTACTGCAAATATCCAGACTAATATATGAGGACTGAAATAAGGTTCTGAAAAAGAGGAATAAAGAAAACGGGACGAGGAACGGAGCAGAAAATATTCCTGTTCAAAGCCGAACAACGGCTTCGCACATACGTTTATGGATAAAACAAAGGTAGGTTTACTCAGACATTTTAAATATCATAACAATAACTGTACACCTGCACTTATGTAGGTTAATGAAGACAATTCAGTAGTGAGATAACTAATGGGAAGTTAGTCGAATGAATAGAGGAAATTCAGAAGAGCCAAGTTGTTAGTAATAATGTTGATTTACAAAATATAATAAAGAGGATCAGTGATATAATTTTTTGGTTTTATTTATTCTTTTTATTTTTAACTCTGAGGCTCAAGAAGTTATGAATGAGCTCTTTTTTAGTCTAGTTGTCCAGACCAGCTTGTAATAGGATTTCTCGGTAGAATGTTAAAACCAGTGCAATGTTACAGACATGAGTTGTAGACGAGGTTAACTAGGAAAAGTAACATCAATATCACTGATTTGTTACATCTTGATATATCGTAAGGAGCCGTAAGCAAACAAAATGTTCTGCCACACAGACATGGGTAGATTGAGGTTATCGCCCTGTGGTGCTGTGGTGCGAACTACTTATAAGTAGTATATAGCGTGAGTGTCAACGTAAAGTCTGGTAGCATAATATGGGGGGAAGATCAAGAAAGGAAGAGTCAGAAAACAATGGAATTTGTATGAAACGCATGAAGAGTGACAATGGATTGATGTTTGGCAACAGGAACAGTCCAGTTCCATAGGATGAACTGATCCTTTGCAAATGAACGATTTACGATATGGTTTTCCAATTTTACTGAGTAACTCTGTAATTTTCTTTAAATACTAATCGGTTGCCCTACCTGTGTTCTCTTTCACTACCTACGCAAAGGATGAAGATTCCATGGCCGAAGGAGTTTGTGGATGGAGATGTGCGGAGCTTCTTGAAGGAGTCTGAGGCCATGGCGGAGCTGGTGGGGGTGAAGGAACCGAAGGCGAAGTTGGTGGTGCTGCGGACGCTGCTGAGAGGAAGGGCGAAGGCCGTATATGACAGCTTGGACGGTGCTGGAGGTAGAGACGGTCGAGTTCGACAGCCGGTGGACAGGGAGGGGGCGTTGCAGAAGTTCCGGTTGGCGACGCCGTCGGCTGATGGTGACCCGCTGGGGCTTGCTGTGGAGCTCACAAAGTTGCTGCGCCGTGCGTTGCCGAATATCGATGAGGAGTCGGAGGCACAATTGTTGGCGTCGCAATTTATTGCGAGTGCCTGCCGCCGTGTCCCAGCAGCTGAGATCAGTAAATGCAGCACAACCTGTGGACATCGGTGAACTGGCGAAGGTGACTCGTCAGCTGATGACACGAACAGTAGCTCCGGTTGGGTGCGAAAAGCAGGAGATAAATACTTTCGAGAAGAAGATTGAGGAGTTAGAGCGTGAGATAGCAGCATTACGAGTAAATCATAAAAGGAACGATAAATGTTACTCTTGTGGAGAGCCAGGACATTGGAAGATAAACTGTCCAAGAAGACGACGACGAAGATATTTTAAACATTATAACGTGTTTTCTTTCCATCCTAGGAATCTGGAGGTTCTTGCACTAGTAGATAGAGGGGCAATTTATGCCAGAGTGTACATAAATGAACAGGGGTTAGAGTGTTTGATCGATACAGGGGCAGCTATATCGTCAATATGCATAGAGCAATGTAAGACAATCAAATCATGTACATTAGCTGCTCACAGCATAGTAGGGCATATGCTAGAGGTGTTGGGGGTATCTAACAGTATTATAAAAATGAGTGAAGCTGAGATCAATGTTCCGTTCGTGGTAACCATATTAGGTAACCGATATTAGGAGTAGATTTCCTAAGAGAGGTAAAAGCAATAATTGAATTCAGAAGCGGTAAAATGGTCACAAAGTACGGTTCACTGCCAATACACGAAAGTAGCGAAGTGGACGTCTCGACCAAGAAACCAAACATAAACAAGTTATGCGCAGAGTATGTGAAACTGTCCACTGGTGATGGAGAGTTGTATGGATTTTGTGACAAAGTAAAGCATGAAATTCCTATAAAGAACGACCGAGTAAATATATTTACAACACGTCGTGTCCCGGTGCATTTAGAGGCCGAGGTAAATCGACAGGTCCAGGAAATGTTGAAGGAGGGTATAATTGAGGATGCAGACAGC